GGGTATCCTGAAATAAGGAATCTAAAAATTACTATTTGTTTATTTGATTGTTTATAATAATGGATATTGTTAGTTTACAATCAAGTTTTGTTAGAAATCATTATTATAGTAATTTTAGACCAATTAAGTTAATAAACTAATTATTTCTGTGATAAAGCACGAGGAACCATAATTTCTTTCAATAATTTATTAATAACAATTAAGTTAAATTATTATTGAATTATTTTGTTTCTTATGATGGGACAGTATTGATTTTCATCGATAGTAAGGTCGTTAAAGTAGCTTGGAGTCAGATAAAAAATAATTTAGTCGAAAAGTGCTAGTTTAACACATTTTTTTCTTACATATTTTTGCATTAACACAAAAAATCAAAATTCGGCTCTCACAGTTCTCTTCAGAATTTATTTCCGAGTATTTCTGTTCAAGAAACATTAAAATCGGTTAAGAAATACGACCTGTAGCCTATTTTGAACAAGTGTTTGTCCGTTCCAGACCACTGTGCACCGTAGGGTTTTAGTGGGTAGGCCGCGCATCCGGCACGTCTGCTGGGTGCACTCCCATCGACACTAGGAGGGCAGTACCACATAACCCGGGCCATTAATAAATTCCCTTCCCAGAGGGGGGCCCGGGTATCCATAAAGGATTTCCCTACGAAAAAAAAGTTTAACCCAATCTACCACTATTTTCAAGTTGGCTACTTTTGCATCAGACACCCTGTATATATATACATTTATTCGAAAAATGTTTCAAACAAAAAAATAGGACGTAAGAAAATCTATTAGATGATGTTATTTATTTGACCTTGGGATAACCTTGAAAAGCCCAGTCAAAGTCAACACAAAAATGTTAAATGGATACTCCCATTTTTTATTACATAATCTTATAGCTTATCTCGAGAGCTTTCCAAAACACTATAATAAAGTTATTTTTTATTACGAACTTTTCGAGTTACAAACCTTGAAAGTTACAGTACCGCCGGCATTCGCATTACCCAAGATGTACCACGTGGAGGTTGGCTAGTCGGATTTACACCTCTTGAGCGCGCGCGCGTGCGTGCGTGCGTGCGTACATGCGTGCGTGCGCGCGTGCGTGCGACAGCAGTGATAAGGACCCCCATCTCTGTTCCTTATCTCTGCACGCACGCACGCACGCACGCACGCACGCACGCACGCACAAGAGGTATAAATCCGACTAGGCAACCTCCACGTGGTATACCTTGGGTAATGCGAATGCCGGCGGAACTGTAACTTTCAAGTTTTGTAACTTGAAAAGTATTTAATGAAAAATAACTTTATTATAGCGTTTTGAAAAGCTCTCGAGATAAGCTATGAGATTATGTAATAAAAAATGGGGGTTTTCATTTAACATTTTTGTGTTGACTTTGACCGGGCTTTTCAAGGTCATCCCAAGGTCAAATAAATACCGTCATCTAATAGATTTTCTTACGTCCTATTTTTTTGTTTGACACATTTTTCGAATAAATCAATATTTTCTAAGATATTTAGCCGTTCCGGAACTTTTGCCCCACCCTGTATGAATATTTGTAATACAATATACATATTAATTTTTCAATTTTTTAACTAAACAAAAAGGAAACATCTTTTAATATTTATTTCTGTTTGCATTCTATTTATTTCAATTTTTGTTCTATTTATAAAAAATAAAAAGTTATACATTAAATGCAATGCATTAATTTAAAAAACAAGAAACATCTTACAAATTAAATAAAAAATTAATTATTACACTTTGACTTGTAGATTAAAAGTAAATTATTTGGCATTAATGACTACAACATACTTTTACTCATAATCATGATAAAAAAACAGCCGCTCAAACTTGGAAGTAATGATCCATAGTAAATTATAAGTAAATATCACATTAATATCTGAAGATGAATAGTTTTGAAAACTTCTTCCAATGTTTTTTTCTCTCTCTTTCTCTCCCTTTCCTTAATCTAAGTATAATAATAGTTAAATGTTTTTAGTAGTAATTATTATTAAAGTATGTATTATTAATATTACAATCTGAGTAAGTAGTTTCTTATTTTACCTAAATATTTCAAAAATTGAAATCTTTCATTAACACTTAAGAACATAACATAATGTAATACAGGGTTTGTCCGTAAAGTAATGAGACTGGCCACCGCGCGGCGCTCCAGTCGCCAGCAGCGCGCCCCCTGGAGGCGGGATTTGTGGTGGGGGTCTAAGCTAAGCAACGCACCGGGCGGCAGTCGTGTCTGAGCTCTGACGCAGTGAGAATCACGCGTGGCGCAAAAGCTGTTTTTGAGTTCTTGTCACGGCAGAAAACGTCAAAAATGGAGCGTTCGCTGGAGCAGCACTATGCGATTAAATTTTGTTTTTACCTGGGCAAAACCGCTTCCGAGACGCTTGCCTTGGTTAAGGAGGCTTACAAAGACGACGCCCTGTCAAGGGCTCACGTTTTCCGGTGGTTCAGCGAGTTCAAGAACGGACGGGAGACCGTTGAAGACATGGAGCGATCTGGACGCCCTTCAACGAGTGGTTTTAATCTTGAGCGATTAATCTTACACTCAAACGACGGTCGGAGTCCAGGAGAATTTTTACTTTGGCCA